AGTGACCACTTCCGTATTGTCATTTGCAACTCGTTTATTTTAAACCAAAGTAACATGTATTTGGAGCCAATTTCACTACTCCGATAATGATAATAATAACATTTGTAATATGAATTACAATTTTTGTAATAAGAGTTATCATCTCGCTATTGCCATTTGCAACTCGTTTATTTCAAACCCAAGTAATATATATTTGGAGCTAATTTCATACTCCCGATAATGATAATGACAACAGTTGTAATGTGAATTACAACCTTCGTAATGAGAGTTACAATTTCGCTATTGCCATTTGCAACTGGTTAATGTGAAAATGAATTTAACATGTATTTGGAGCCAATTTTACTACCCTGATAATGATAATATTTTTAGCCAATTTTACTACCCCGATAATGATAATAACAACATTTGTAATGTGAATAACAGCATTTGTAATCAAATTAACCACTCCGGTCATGCCTATTGGCAACTTCCACCATCTCCCTTGGAGGAATTAAGCAAATGGTAAAATGTGTTGACAAAATAGCATACAAGTACACTTGAAGAACATCATAATATGTTTATATTAACATTCAGACTTTACTACATGTATAATGGAATTGACTACTGAAGTGATGATATTTACCAAAAACCAGTACGCCTATGACAGAAGTTACATAACTTGCATTCAAATGACAAGTTAACATTAAGATTAAACCACCACCTAATGTTTCCTTGTCATTCAGATTACAAACATATCCTACCCAGTTAACATCATTTACAAAAATGATAACCTCTCTATCAACTATTCTCCCAAAAAAATTAAGGGTTCAAAAGTTATTCTATTTACACTAAAAAAATTACTCCTCAATGTTAAACCCAATGTTAGATGTCATCAAAGCCTGCTAACCTGCAACAAAGAAGCATAAATCAATATTTTAGTTCCCCAATAATCAATTTCATTTATCTTTCGAAACACCCAAAAAACACACACACACCCACTTACTCCATTAACAACTTAAATATAGGATTTTACAACTTCACTAATGAGTTTAACAACACTGACCACCTCATGCTTACTGTTTGTCACCGTTTTTCCATTTCCGACGCGTCACTCTCTCATCCTGGTCAAATTCTTCATCCAAACCCTCTACACTCACAGACCCATCCCCATTCGAGATTGCAGCAAAAAGCGAGTCAAGAAATCGGGTGATACTAGCATTTTAACGGAAAAATTGCTTACATTTTCCCTCTTTTCAAATTTCGACCCTTGCTCTAGCTTCGTTTTCGCAGCTCTCTCTCTCTCTTCTGGTATATTATTGTTTTCTTCCAGTTCATATACTTCAGAGAGGTTCAGGGCATTTTAGTCTTTCTACCGAATTGACAAAATTCCAGATTGATACCCCATGCCCATTTGGTCATTTCAATTATTTGCATGCCCATTTTGTCATTTCCAATTTCAACAGTCCTTTTTTTGTCATTTTCCCATATAATTTTTAATGAAAGTACTAAAATATCCCAATCTCGAAAAGCTATTGTATTAGAGTGTATTAGAAATTATTAATTATAACAAATTTTTATATTCCCAATCTTTATAGTTAAAAAAGATTATTAATGTTTCTTAATAAATTTTTTCTCCATCAGCCAATTGTTTTTTTTATTTTTTAATAAAAACCAGCCAATTATTATGGTTATTATATTAATTGTTGTGGCTGCAAATATTTTAATAGCATAAATATTATACATAATACTTAAATATTTTTGTGACCCGCCATGTTTTATATTTTAACATCATTATTACTTATCCCAAAGTGTCTTAATTTCAAAAAATTGTTAAATAAAGTCAAAAAAATAATATTTACATTTTAATCCTTTAATTAGTGTTCATTTTATATTTTAGGATTTTTAATTCAATTTTTAAAAAAATATAATTAAATCTCAAAAAAATTATCTGAGAATATCCTAAAGTTTGATTGAAATAAAGAATATAAATTCATCCTGTAAGAGGGCGGATCATTGAGAGGTTAGAAGGAGATAGTGTCTTTTTTTTTTAACTGGGGATATTTTGATATTTTTATTGAAAATATTGTAGGTCCTATTATCAAAAGTGGTTTTAAATTCTCTCAGAGAATTGAACATAAACATAAAAAAATTCAAGTTGACTATTAAATTTAATAATATAGACTACTAGAGGATAAACACACAACTGTATATGCGATTGATACAAATAACTGTCCACACAAAAAAATTATTTTAATTATAAAAAACAACTTATTGTTGAAGTTTAAACTTTTTTACACAAACTATTTTAATTATAAAATTTATATAATTAATAAACTCTAATACACTCTAATACAATAGTCCTTAGATATTGGGAGTATTTTGGTACTTTTATAAAAATTATATGCTGTTTGGTAAACTTTTAATATAAGTTCATGAGTATTTTTGTACTTTTAAACTTTTTATTTTAATTGAGAGTATTTTGGTATTTTTATTAAAAAAATTGTGAGTTGCAAAAACAAAAAAACAGACATTTGTTAATTTTAATGGGCTAGCGTTATTGAGTTATTTTTTAAATTTGGATTTAGTAGATTTGAGTCCAAAATAAGTTGATGGTGTTGGGTGAATTTTTACAATTTGAGATAGCGTTATTTGAGATTTTGCAATTTTTACAATTTTTTTTTGTCATTTTCCCCTGTTTCATTTACCTTGAAATAATTTTTTCTCGTTATAATTAAATCTTAGAAATAAAAATAAAGATGTTACAACAGAAACCCGTTAGTGGCTGTAGTTTAGTTAAAATGTATAGAAATATTAATATTTCAATTACAAAGTCTTTCTCCTTTCCATTGTGCAGCTCGTGCCTTCTGATTTCTTAAGGCACCTGAAATAAGCCCCTTATGACCTCCGTTGATGATTCCTTTTGCCTATGCGCGTAAATGCACCGAATCCCCATGTCATTTAAAAATGGTGACAACTATCTTGGTAAGAAGCATTGTTCTCTATTCATATTGGTATATTACTCATATAGTTTGAGTAACAAGAAAGCCAAATAGGTGCAGCTCTAGAAAATGATTTTGTAAAATATCTGGAGGAGGTAGCTGTTGTAAAAAACGTCAGAGCAAATTGGTGAGCTAGACTTTCAAAAGTCTAAGAGGAGAACATTATTATCTTACAGAATGTATATTACAGAAACCCAATAATGGGTGTAGTTTAGTTATAATGTGTAGAAATATTCATATTTTAATTACAGTCTTCCTCCCTTCCATTGTGCACACCGTGCTTTCTAATTTCTTAAGGCATCTCAAATAAGCCCCTTATGATCTTTGTTGATGATTTCTTTTGCATGACTGCATAGATGTACCAAATCCATGTCATTTAGAAAGGGTAACAACTGTATAGTTAGAAGCATTGTTTTGTATTTGTATTGGTATGTTTACTCATAGGTTTGAATAACAAGTAAAGCTGATACATGTATTCTAGGAAATGATTTTGTGAAATATTTGGAGGAGTTGGCTGCTGCAAAAATATCCAAGAGCACAGTAAAATATAAACATCTTGGCGAGCAAGACTTTCAAGACTCCGAGACACCAAAAAATTATAAAATCCCTGTAACATTACCTCCACCCCCTTTTAATAAAAAATTCCCTTTAGTAGCTACCTCGTTGCCGGCTAGAGCCAGTGCTCTAGTAGGGTGACGCTGAGGTCGACCTAGGGGTGAGTATTCGGTTTTTCGGTTTGGTTATCGGTGATAACCGAATTAACCAAATAACCGAATAGAACAAATTTTAAACACCGAACCGAAATCGATAACTAAACTAACCAAAACCGAATCAACCGAAATATATAAATATAAAAGTGATTTTAAATTATTAATAATAATAAAACACAATTACAACCAGTAATTAATAAATATTTCATCATTTAATGTGGTTTATTACAATAATATTTATTATAAACATATTTATTGAATATAAATATATTTAAAGAGTTCATATAAACCCACATATATTTATTATAATAATATTTATTAAATATAAATATATAATATATTTATTTTGGTTTTTCAGTTATAACCGATTTTTTTTCCTACTAATCAAACCGAACACCAAAACCAAATTATTACAAAAATAAAAACTGAATATGTAATCGAGAACCGAAATAACCGAATCAAAAAATCAAAATTAAATTTGATTTGGTTCGGTTCGGTTTTCAGTTATGGTTCGTTTTTGCTTACCCATAGGCCAACCCTTGGAAGGTCTCCAGCAAGGGGTTGGGTTTTTTCCCCCTAATAATGTGTGTTTTTGTTATTTCCTCTTAATTTTAAAATGACAATTTAGATTTTTTTTTATTTTAACATTTTGAAGTGTTAATTTTTCAAATTGAAATTTCATATATTCCTACTTTTTTTAGTTGTCATTTTCCTTATTATGATTAGGGATAAGATATTAAAATATTCTAAAAGTTGTTTAGCATGCGAAATTTTTTCCCCCTATTCTAATATGCCCTTAAAGTGTAATTTTGTAGCAAATATGCCTTGGCCATTAATCAATGCTAATTTGGATCATTAGATCATCTTGTTTGACCGAATTTACTTGTGTGGCAGCCGCATACATTTTGATTTTTTCACCTTATCATCACATTTTATCAAATTTGCTACGAAATTATATTTCGAGGGCATATTAAAACCGAAAAAATTTAGGGTACTCCATTGTGGTAACTTCTAAAGTATTTTAACACTTTATGCCTTATAAATTATGAAAAAAAATGTTAAATATAGGTTATGAAAATTGTAAAATTACAAATCAGGATTTATTATAACACTTTGGCAAGCTTTGCCAATAATTAATTTGTAAACATCAACACATTTTTTTTAAAAAATACTTAATTTGGGATTTTATAATCTCTACGGCATTTTTTAAAATTATTTTTCCAACTATAAATATCAAATAATATATACATATATATAATTTTTTTCAACTTCGGACGTTGTAGGCTCAATCCTAAACGACGGGGGCAAAAAGATCAAGCCTTAAACCAACAGCAGTGGCTTGCTGACGGCGGTGCTTGTGTTGCCCAACCTTAGTCGCCGGCGGCGACCACACCATCCCTTAGTCTGTGGTGAAATGCTATACGTAGCCTCCACATCCCCTTTCCAGTCTCCCGAGTCCTCATCTATCGCATTGCCTCCTCTCAAGGTAAGAAATTCGCATGTTAGATTGAAACAAACACGGTCTTACCAGTGTTGGGAACTTGGGATAGTCGGAAGAGGAGCTTTATTCGATGTCGCTGCGTATTGCTGCGGATGCACTGCGAAGAGCTTCATCCACAAAGATATTACATTCGCCAAATCAAAGCCTTCGATTCCTCTCTGGTTCGGCTGCATCGGCCTCAACTTCGGCGTCAAGCCCTAGCTTGTCAATATGGCGGCGAAAGAAGGAGATGGGTAAAGAAGGCCTGATTGTGGCCAAAGAGCTTAAGAGGCTACAGTCCCATCCGGTTCGGCTCGATCGCTTCATTCGCTCCCATGTCTCTCGCCTGCTGAAGTCTGATCTCGTATCGGTCCTCGCCGAGTTCCAGAGGCAGGACCAGGTCTTTCTCTGCATGAAGGTTCCTAATTTCTCCGACTTCTCTCTACTTCTGCGATTATATACTTGAGTGTTTGAAGAATTTTTGCCATGTATATGGGTGAAATTTTGTTCAGCTGAGCTAACAGCTTTATATGACTGATTGTGATTGAAGATTCTATAATTCTTTCTGTGAAACATAGAACTTGGAAAACTAGTTGTGTCGCTATTGAACTGGGTATAAGTGATAAATGAATAACTGTGGGATTATCTCAACCTCAATTGTTCTTCTGATCTTGTCAAGTAGTGATATCTTGAATGGTCCCCTGTATGGTTTTTCTACTGTAGTCATTCCTTGTGCATTTAGGACCGGCAAAGACATGCAAACACTCTACGAAAAGTAGAGAACAAATCTTGATCAATGAGTTATGGTTCTGTGAGTTATTTAATATCATTTAGGTTGTAACTATACCTAGGTTTGTTTCTGTTGCTGTTCTTGTTTTCTAACTTGAATTCCACAACTTTTGTCAGTTGTAGACCTTTTATGAATTGTGACTTGATATCTGTTTGGCTCATAGGACTTCTCACCTTTAGTAGCATATTTCATCCTCTGTTACAGTACAAGGGAATTCTAACATATTACAAACTTGAATTTACCTATTAACGTTTTTGGTCAACTTGGTATAGGAGGTACCTCATGTAGCTATATGAATGCCAGTCCCTTTTTTTGTTTTAATTGAATCCCTTTGGCTATTAAAAAGGAAAAAAGCAGAACAATATTTTCTTGTCTCTGCTTTTATGTTTTATTGACTATATTTCTTTTCTCTTTTAAGTAGTCCTATTTCAAAACTTTAGAGCGTAAGCCGCAATCTCAAACTCCAGTGGTTGCTGCTGCTGCTGTCTAGCATTAGAGAGAACGAAAGGATAGTGTAGTTTTCTATAGCTTATTGCCTGACCTTGATTATATAGTGTTTGGAAGTTTCAACAAGTGACCATGCTTTTGACTTCTTTCTTGAAGCGAACAGAGTAGTTGTTTCAGCTAGAAATGCCAAAATTTGTTTTTACCGTTAAAAACTAATTTGTTGTTTGTTTGACTTGAGTCACATATTCTTTGCTACCGACCTGATGTTTCACACACTAACGCTAAAGTGTTCTGTTATGCAACATGGTTGTGCACCTTTTAATGACAAATATTTTATGTCACAGTTGTATGATGTAGTGCGCAAAGAAATATGGTACCGGCCAGATATGTTCTTTTACAGAGACATGCTCATGATGCTTGCAAGAAACAAAAGGGTGGACGAAATAAAGAGGGTTTGGGAAGATTTGAGAAGAGAGGAAGTCCTTTTTGATCAGCATACATTTGGAGACATCATTAGAGCTTGTTTGGATAGTGGCTTGCCCAATGAGGCGATGGACATATATGAAGAAATGAGGCAATCTCCTGACCCTCCTCTTTCATTACCTTTTCGGGTGATATTGAAGGGACTTATTCCCTACCCAGAACTAAGAGAGAAGGTAAAAGACGACTTCTTAGAGCTTTTTCCCGGCATGATCGTCTATGATCCTCCTGAGGACTTGTTTGAAGATCAAGAGCACCACCAGAGTGAAGATGATGAATAGAGCTCTGTTGACTAGCTTCTTGAATTCCTTTGCCATAATCGGCAGTCTCAGATGTTTGTGGCAGCTTTGCTCCTGCACTGAATTTCTCTGACACTTGTTGAGACTTAGGAGCTGCTGTTAACGTCGAAGGAACGGTTGCAATGTAGGAGCCAGATCAGGCGAATCTTTTGTACTTCCAGATGACAAAGTATAATTGCCTTTCTCAATTCAAATGGATTGGAATTGCTGCTGATAACATGGAATCTGGTTTCGACTCATCTTTGTTCCTGCTTTCTGGATAATGATGTTACGGGTGGAAACTGCATGCTTAAAGGCATTTTAGACAATCTTGCAATGGTTTACTAAACTATTGTTCCCGTATGAGGCTTGCATGATTGTTTCCGCTTTCGTTTTGTTGAAAGGATCATTCTTACTGATTCTTGCTGGTTTACTTGGTTGAGGTTGAGGACTTGAGGTCATGAAAAATGTTGCCATATTTCAGCTAATGGAATGTCGTGTCAAAGACAATGATTTGTTGTGATACGTATTCTACCTTTTGAAGGTAAAAGCACACCCTTTTGGATATCATTTGTACAAATACCCTCTTTCATTCTGCTAGTCTCTCAAATGGTTCATTATGTGTAGGATTAATCGATCAACTATTGACGTAATGCGCTTTTGGGAACATAATTAGATGATGAGAGATATTTTGTCTTAAGATTCATGTGTTTTGAGTGTTTCATCCAATTTCGCTTAATATTTTGTCTTATGAACTTCGCTTAATTTAAGGCTAAAATAGGCTTGATTTTCTTGAATTTTGAGTCAATCATTGCACATTATCTTCCTTATATTTGAAAGTTTAAAATTAGCCTTTGAGTTTTTATTATTTTTTGACAATTAGGCTCCCGTTGTTAGAATCTGTTATATCAGAGTATTCCCTCTTAAGCATTTGTTTCATTTTGATATGGAAATATAAATGTTGACCTGGATGTCCTCATGAAGACTCCCCGCGATAGGCAATGCAATGCCATGGACGAACTCCATGAGAAGGATTCTTGTGGTCTGCGATTGAATTACTGACTTAGATTGAAGTTTATTGTTGTTGGATTGATTTTTCATTGGACATGATCCGTTGCTAAAACGTCTATTTACTAAGAAGGGTTGAATGGAGTAAAAAGGATTAGTTTCTTACAATGTGGTTAACCAAAATTCAAATTTCTGTAAGGAGATGTGTTCACATTTAGTATTTGATAGTATTTCAAACAACATTGTTTTTAATAGGAGAATATGTACATAGCCAAAAAAAAAATGACGTCCAAATGCTATGGAGGCAATATAATGGTGGGGTGAAGGGAACAAAAACAAAGAGAGAGAGAATTACCATGAAGCGTCAAGAAATGAATATAACCATTAAAAAGTCTTGCAACAACTGAATGATATGTAATGAAAAGTTTTAATGTAGAAAATGATAACAAGCTCATACTGCTCACTTGTCTATGAATTTTTTAATAAGTACATTCTTTTTTAGAAGCTCGTAATAATTCTTTGAAAAAAAAATGATGTTTGGAGCTCTTTCCTTTGAAAAAATTTAAAACTTTAAATCTAAGAGAACTTTACGGGAATACAACAATCCGTGACTCGATCCAAAGCAGGCAATTGAAGCAAGACCAAACGCAATGCCAAGCTTCGAATGAATCAGATCAGATGTGAAATAGAGAAGGGGAGAATGACATTTAAGTCCGATGGAAGTCTAGTATTCATAGTTTAGTCCTCCAAAATGATGACATGTCATTGCAGTCTTGAGAGATTTTGATGAAATTATAATAAGAATAAGAGGAAGTAGCAAAAAGAATATGGAGGCATGCAGCTACATGCAGCTATTAGGAGGACAGGTATGGGTTTAGAAAATAAGATTTCACAGTTGACATGCTCAGATAAAGTTCTAGGTTTGAGTTTAGCATTAACATGTTTGTTTGCCTCCGTACATTTAAATTGTATAAAATTAAAAAAAATATCAAATTACATTTTACGCTGTCTATATTAAATTTATGGAATATTTTTTTATCTTTTATCTTTTAAATTACACTTTTTTTATTTTTTAAAATTCTCAACATTTCTTTTATAAATTTATTGTTGTTAGTTGATTGAAAATTAATTCTTGCTATTTATATTTATCTACAATAACTAACATAAGTCTGGTTTGACTGCAGTCCAACCGCATTGGGATCGCTAAACCATAAGTCTAAAATATCCTTGTTAATCAAGTGTATTGACTAGAACTATCATTAGTAGAAGGACTACTTTGAAAAAAAATGTATAAATATGAGAGACAAAGTGGATTAAGGTCTTATATTTAGGATCAAAATAAAAGTCAAACAGGGTCTTATATTAAGGACCGGAGGTAGTAAAATTTTAGGCAGGGTTTTGAGCTCAACATAAATCAAGGGTGGAGTACTTGATCTAAATCCTCCTAAAGCATATATGTTGGGCAGAACAAACCTACCACAGATCCTCAAATTTTACCTAGAAACCCTTGCGTTTAGGATGCCTTCCCAAATATCATGATAGGAAATTAAACCCCTTTTCTTATTGGTAAGAGGGTGCGGTTTTCACAGCTAAACCCACGGACGATGACTGCGATCATATTTCTTTACACGGAACTTTTCTATCCCTATCAATTTCTCCTGCTTTTTGTCTTTTGGTTACAAATTTTCTCGTTTTGTTTGGCAGGTACCAACTCTTTTCTCCCAGTTAATAGTAGCAGGCAGACTTAAATCTTGATCCAAAAAAAAAAAAGGACTTAAATCCAAAACAAAAAAGAGTGGTAAGTAGACTTGGGCTTCCAGTGTGGTTGTGGCCTATTGCTTCTTTTTGAAAAAAGCTCCTTCCATTACTCCCCCCCCCAAAAAAAAAAAACATCATTATAAATAAATAATCATATAATTTATAAAATTATACTCCTCCGGTTCTTATTTAGGACCTAATTGTTAAATTAATTTTAGTCCCAAATATAAAACCTATTTCTCATATTTATCAGTTTTTTCTAAATTATCCCAATGATAATCCCTCAACCATAATCAAGTAAGTGATGAAGGAAGGATATTAAAAAAATGATTATGATGTTCTAGGAAAAATATTTTATATTTCTTGTAATTAACTAATTTATCTAACTTCTTTAATCTAATCAAATTAGTTAAATCGGTCTTATATTAAGGACCAGAGGAGTATCTTTTAGATAATGGTTATATATTTTGTGATATTTTAATGAACATAATTATTATTATCATGTAAAATATTTGTATAATTATAATTATAAGTATATATAAAATATATCTTTTTATATATGACATATATTCAAATTTAAATTATTGTTTTCTATTATGTATATTAATTAAATTAGAAAAATAATATACATATAATTTCCCAGCATTTGAACAAAATAAATTCTAGTTATCCCTTAAACAGGGGGAGACAAAAGAAATCAAAAGCAAGCCAACAAAGTCAAAGTAAACATTGCATTCTTGTATCATTTTCTTATCATAAACGAAGTAAAAACTGGGGGGAAAATAAATATTGTTACTGTTTTTTTATCGACTTCTCATCATCTTCTTTATAGATTCCAGACCGTAAAAAATGGCCATGATTGTTTGACCCAGAAAAAGATTTCCCCATTACTTGTCCGGAATTTAACATTATAACACGTCAGATCAATTTACCAAGTCAATAGTCAAGCATCAGATACATCAAATAAATTTGACATCTGAATAATCCATGTGAATTGTTTCTTATAAGCTAATGAATAATTCAACATATTTGAATAATTTTTCAAAACATTAATTTTTCAGATTAACAAGCATTTTCAATTAGGTGACCCCATTTTATTGACTGTTTTGCACCAATCAGGTTGCGGAGTCCCTTTCCCTGATAATTACCAAAATTCAGGATATTTAATTTAATTAGATTTCGGATGCTTGTAGGGAAAATGGCATTATTAGAAAGATGTTAATCCCCACAACTTGGTAAACCAGTGTTCAAATCCTAATTGAAAAAAGCGCCTATATTTAGTGCCAATAATATGCCATAACAAGATTGCCTTGGACAAAAGAATACTTGTACTTTTTTTTTTTTTTGGAAAAAATAAGGCAATATGCCCCAATTAAAGTTTGACATACATAAGATTATTGCATGGTAGAGGAGATTCTAATAGAGAAACATACCCTATATCTAAATCATGAGCGTGCTAAACTATATAATAGCTAGTTCACGCAAAAATGCTAATAAGATTGAGTCCAGTGAAAGGAACTATTCTTGTACAATATAGCACATCAATGTTCAAAAATTTAAAAGAGGTATCAACATTTAATATCTCACAATTTCTCGAATATAATTATTTTTAATAGGATAATACCTATGTTTATGCTAGGTTTTAGAGATACAATTAATAGTCAAGTCTTGAACCTCAATTCATGACAGCTAAAACTTGGAGTTAGGTTTTAAAAAATCTTTCAACAACCACATTTTAATAAGGGAAGCCATTTCAAAATGAATCCTTAAAATTCAAGTTCAACTCATATGTGTTATCCGCATACATATATATATATATATATATACGTACATACGTATGTATATGTGTGTATCTTATTAAACATTGACGTGGGACTTCCCACTTCAAGTCAAACTCGCTCGCGTTTCATTTATTGTAACAAAGAACTTTAAGGTTTGTCCTCCTATTTTCTTGGCCACTTTCTTTACTTTTTCAACCTTATTTAAATCCAATCCAATTTTAATGTTTATGGTTAACAAAGTCTAATGATAACATCCTTAACATGAAAGAGTAATCATGACTAATCTAATCAGCCTACTGTATTATTTGATCATCACGCTATGGAGAACGTAGTCTATACGCAAAGGTCGATATGTACATACACTTAGGTTCTTGTGTGGAAAACTTTGTTGGAAAAAGCTCATTATTTCCATTACCATGATGGACTTCTTTTTTTTTTTTTTATTGGAATGCGTGTCCTGAAAGAGGTTTAATTTGGTTTACTCTTATCTAATCTTTTTCATTCGAAGGTTTGACACTTCAAAAACTCTAGCCTTGTTTGTTTTCTTAATTTGAAAATAGTTTTTGTTAAAAAAGATTATTTAGTAATTTGTTTTTAGTCGATTATTTTTACAAAGAAAAAAACATAAATTTGTTTTTAAAAATTATAAAACCAAACCAATTTTTAGTTTTTCTTGTCACATTTCTTTTTTTTTTTTGTTTGAGAAAATAAAAAAACCCCCTTTTTCTCCACTCGATTGCTTTTTTCCCTTCATTTGAGGACTGGAGTTCTGATCGAAGTTTTACCCTCAGTATGCTTATTTTCAAATGTATTTTTTTTTAGAACAATTATCAAAACAGAATTTTTTTTCCTCCTCAAAACTTGTTTTAAAAAAACAATTATAAAATTGTTTTGAGGGGGAAAAAAACAAAAAATAGAAACAAACAGTCGCTTTTTTATTTGAGGAGATTATCTTTCGCATGCGATGGATAATATAGACTCGAGTATCTTTAGGTTCAAAGAAGGTAACTTCAACCATACTTCACGGATACCAAATCACTTTCACTCAGTGAACTGTTGTTGGTATTCAAAACATCAGACCTTAAAGAATCTCTTCTACCTGATCCAATCTTAACTGGTCCAAATGTTCAAAATTCATATGCCCAAAGAATAGGAAATAATTAAGAATTTTATGTCTTTTTTTCCCCCTTCCATCCTTAATACTTCCTTCTTCCCTAAATATAAAAATTAAATAACTAATTTATAAAAAAATTAGTTATTTATAAAAAATGCCTATTGATTTTTCTAAAGTATCCTATTTAATTATTTACATTGAAAACTACTCCCCCAATAGAAAGTTCCCTTATTATGTGTGATGAATAGGGAGAGTTTAGGAAAAAAAAATTAAATTTAATAAATAAAATGAATTAAAGTCTTACATTTAGGATAAAAAAAAATCTCTCTACTAAATTTTATATTTAGGAGTGGAGAGATTGGAGAGAGTATTAAATAATAAGGGGCCGATTAAATTTTCCTTCAATAAGAATCTCCACTTTATTCAATATAGAAAGATATAATAAATGTCATTTTCAGATTAGTTAAGTAATCAGAGTCATGGCTGATGATTTCATATTAAAGGACCCAAATCGAATATTCTCTTATCGGTTACACAGCAAATACATATATATACCACCTCACTAAAACTCTTAATTGCAAGTCAATGAAGAACAACACAGCACAAGCATACATATGCATATACATACACATATATATTAATAATGCAAAGTTACTCAAATTTCAATATAATGACAAACTTTGACAATAACAACGTAACTATACTATGATATATCATACTCTCTCACTCTCCCCCCCCCCCTCCCGGGGAAACATCTTATTGATCTGTTTGGCAACACAGGAATAACCAGATACTGAATGTATAAACTCATGCAGATAATAACAATAATACAAGCCACTTTTCTTGCTACTAGTATGGGAAACACAAATGATTACTTCACTGAGATGATTTGAGCTTCTTGGCTATGGCAGCAAAGTACTTTCCTTGATGAAAAGCTTGAGCCAATTCTAAGTCAGTGGGCTGTCTGGTGCCATCCCCAGCAAAAGTACCGGCACCATAAGGAGAACCACCTTTCACTTGCTCCATCTCAAACATGCCTCCACCAAATGTGTATCCAATTGGCACAAACATCATCCCATGATGAACCAATTGAGTAATTGATGTGAGTCTGTGTGTTTCATGCACAACCATAACATAACACTGTGTTAGCGGTCAAAAATCGACAAGTACTCCTATAAATCTAATTTATAAGTCAGAATTTTTGTTAAAACCTTTTTATAGGGTACATCGTTAAACTTTTTTTACATGAATGTACAATTTTACCATAATATTATTCTTTTGGAAAGTGTAAATTTGGAGACTTAGTCAATAAAATATGCAATCATTGATTTAGTTAATTTTTTGAAGCATACTGATCTTTTTGTGGAGTGAAGTTAAACTTACGGGGTAGTTTCTTGTCCACCTCCTTGAGAGGCGGTGCTGTAAAAGATCCCGGCGGGCTTTCCGGCGAGTGCCTGAGTTCGCCATAATCCTCCGGTTGCATCCATGAATGCTTTGAACTGAGCAGCCATGAGTCCAAATCTTGTAGGAAAACCAAACAAGAAGCCATCTGCCTCAGTTAATTCATTAGGCGTAATTACTGGTACGTCACTCTTTGGAGGTGCTCCTAACTTCTCAAGAACCTCTGGAGTTAGAGTCTCAGGTACCTATTTTTTCAGTTATAAAAAAAAGAAGAAGAAAAAAAAAAAAAACCAAAAAGGCAAATTCATAAGTGGAACATATAAAACATCACAGATATGCGATCTGTAAAAAGGTAAGAATCTTGCATGCATATCTAGCTACAGATGAATAAACATAGCAGTAAATTTCACCTAACAGACGAAATCTATAACTATATATGTCTATTTCTCTCTTCACTGAATGATCCATTACATGATTAGAGAATTTCCGTGTTACTCTTTTTCATTGTAAATAGAAGATCGCAATCTATTTTTTCTGTACAATTTATAAGTATTTTCCTAAACTATCTATATTGATTACACATGCAAAAGGGGTTTCCATCAAATAATTTCAATGCAAATGATTAAAGAGGATATTTTAGAAAAATCAAAACATATTTTTTACCAATAACAAAATTTAACTAATTTTTTTAATCTTTATAAATTAGTTATCTATTTTCAACGTTTAAAAGTGAAAAAAAAAAATCTTGCATCATCGAAAGTAACTGGTTGTTCTTTGCCAAAGAAAGAAAAAAAAGTAACTGGTTGTTACCAACCTGCCAGAGTTTGGCCTCAACTCCTTCCACAGAATCTGCTCCTTTTTTAATCTCATGTGCCAGCTTCTCAACATGTCCGTACGTAGAATAGTAACTAAATAAATATAGACATAAGTATTCTAATATTAATGTAAAGTCCAAATATAATAATTAAAGTCAAGCTAAAGCATCATGATAGACTCTGAATAATATACCTTGAGAATATATATCTAATTAATAATCAGAATGAATTAATATGGTATGATTAACTCATTGGTCTAAAAATATATAAATACAACGGCACTAATTAATAATCATCCACTAAGACAGCAATATAATTGAAGTCAGAAGAAAATGTTTCTCACCACAATAATGGGAAGATTCAGTGTCAGAGTCACTAATAAAAAGAACGCTCCATATATACATATATATATATATAGACACACACACACACACATATTTATATAAGGTGTGAATGTGATGTAAGAAAGACTGCCATACCTAACATTAATGCATTAATATATTACCCTCTGGTGGGACTATATGCCATGATTAATAAACAAAACTATAAGCATTTCAGTATTTGACAAGACATAATGATATTGACTTAGCATTATCTACAGTATATGAACTCATATATGATCATTGAGCTTTTAATTAATTTCTAGTTGTTTTCGTAAAAGTAAACAAATGGTGTGGGGTTTCAGAAACTAAAGTTTTAGCAGAAATTGCAGGCCAAGAAAACAAACTAAAAGTTTGAGTTTCATTGTCACACACACACACACGTTTACATATATATTTTCTTGCTTGCCAATGAAGCAAATTAAATTTCAGCTTTTAGAAGGCTAAACACTCACAATCTTTCATTTTCTCTGTCTTTCTTTTTTACAAGTTCAACTTTTTGGAAAGAGAGAAATTAGATTTTCCCTGCGATCACGGAAGGTGATCGAAAAGTGATAGAAGTCTGAAGCTTCCAGTGGATCCATCTAGGTTTATGTGCTTTTGAATCTTCAAGGGAAATAACAACGAAATCGAGTATAACTGTGCCAGAAATAATAATCTTGGTGATGGGCTCAGATATCTTTAACAAAGTTGACTTTTTTTTCCTCTGAGAAAAAGAAAAGAATCTTCCATTTGAAGCTGATAAAGTAAAACTTACAAACACAAATACCCAATTCCAAACCCATCAATCTACAATTAATAAGACGAATCATAAACAACAAAATTGAAAAAGAAAAAGAAAAAGAAAAGATTCATCCTAGGAATCATCAAAACATGTCTCACTGAAACCGATGGAGAAAATGAACTCAGTCCAGATTTCTGGGAAAGGCAGAAGGACTGAGAATTTTATATATGAACTTGCAGAGAAATACTCAGAGAAAAAGAAAGCAATTTAAATGGCTTCTCTACTCCTCTTCTTTCTTTGTTCAGATCAAATTTTGATGGTTTGAATTAATATAAATCATTAAAATTTCTGAATCTAAACGATTCAGAAATTATGCAGAAGAAGAAGAGAAAAGACCATGAAAGAAGCATAGAGAAGAAAGAAAAGAGAAAGAACAATCACTTACACAATGTAAACCTTGGTCGCCATTGATGCTATTTCCTTGAGCTCTCTGTGTTTTTTTCTATTTACTGTTTAGAAACCAATGAAGGTATCTGTGAATGGAACCTTTGACGAGGGACGAGACAAGAATAATGCTCATATTTATAATGCCAAATTGCCGGAATCGTTTCTGATAAGCTTGAAATTGTTTTATCTAATTTATTTATTTATGGATGTAATTATTATTTTTTTATTTTTTATTCATTGTTATTAATTGGTTATATCATGTTGAGTTTACTAGTTTTTTAGTTGTCAAAGTTTCGAGGGTGGATGATGCATGATTAGTGGGCCAATTTCAAAAAAAATTGCACCTAATAATTGCTGGAGTTGTTGAAGTCGTTGTCCTTATGAAATATTAATGTTTTTAAATTTCTTTATTCAAAACAGCATATTTGACTTAAAAAAATAATTGTAATCGTAATTTACACGAAATTCGTAGGAAGATTAAAATAAAAAAGAGAAAGAGAAATAATATATTAAAAATGGAGGCCCATAGGTCGGAACATAGCCTCGAGTTATAATAGGATAAAAATAGTAAGAGGTCTAATAAAAAATAATATGCCAGGTCAAAAAAAATTAAGAAAAAATATAGATTGATAAATACACACACACATATAAGTACGTACTACGTTCATTCTAACGTTTTTAATTTTTAATTCTTACATATATCTTGTAAGGCTTATAGATATTTAAAAAATTAAATTATTAACGATTTCCTGTATCGAATAGAAATTTAATTATATACAAAATTTTATGTTAAAATTTTAAAATTAAAATATAAATAATATAGAAAAGAGATATAAAAGCAAAAATATCAGTGGGGAAAAACCAAGTCAAATATACAAGTCATGCTATCTATGTGTCTTGTGAATTGTATTACATAGAGACATTATATATTAAAAATATATGTTACAAACGATACTTGGTATCAAAATTATTTCAAAGGAATTTATCTATCCCTCAAATGCATATTCAAAGTAATTCATACCTAACTAAGCTTTTTAGTTTTAAAGTAAATGAGAGATTTAAATTCTTTATAATAAAATGTAACTATTTTTTATTTTCATATATTTATTGATTTTTTCTTATGGGAATTTGAAATAAATATTGTCTTTAATTCTTAAAATTAATATATATTTTTCTAGAAGGAAGAAACAGACAAGGAAATTCCATGATTTGTGGTGCATGCTGGCTGCTGCATGATTCATAGACCAGTTCCTTCCAAACAAATCCCATCCAATAAGATATGCAAATGATATTTGTATCAAAGTAAATTATATTGACATGTCTGATATTTTATTAAAATTATATAGATCACAAACAAAATTAAAGTAAATTATACAGGTATTTCTATATAGGACAGTTCGTTCAAATTTTAAAGATAAATGAGGTATTTCTTAATTCACAGACATAGGTAATAGTATTTATAATATGCGTGCGCTGTGCGCAAGATATTTTAGGGAAAAAGTAGCTCTTAAAGATATAATTGATATAAAAAGATTAGGTTTAATTACCCTTTAAAATATAAATACACATATATAAAAAAAATACAAGTATGCAGCTTGAATATATAAAATCTAAGTCCGATCTCCGAAATTCTAAGACCTAATTTTTGTTGGCGGACTTTACTTGTTTGTGTGTTTAAGAGAATGTTGTGTAAATTCATATGTAATATTGATAAAAATGAAAATTAATTGTACTAATTCTAGAAATAAAATAGGGTCAGCTACTCAGAAAATATACTCCATCTAATTCTTTTTATAAGCTCTAATTAACTAATTCTGATAAGTTAAGAAATTAGTTAAAAGTAGGTATTTCTTGTAAAATCTCCAAATTATCCCTTATAAAAATTACTAGTTAAAAATTTTGCTCAATTGGTTCTGAAGTTTTACAGTTAGTGTGGGAATATTAAATAAAAAATTAATAATTTGGATAAAACTTGTTATAGTATAAAATATGTAAGATGTCTTTAAAATAAACATTAGAAATCATATAATTTCTAGTATATACATATAGGCATTCTCTCTATAAGTAATGAAGTTTTTCTTTTTCATATTATCAGATATATGAGAGATTTATATAGTATCGTTTTAATAATTAATAATTACTTGCTTGACTCCATGCGGATATAGTGTTCGATCAATAAGCACAGCAGACCAATAAATTATTAAATCTGATAAATCAAAAGTTGACTCTATATAAATAAAATGACATTCAAAACGGTCCAAATATACCAACAACCAAAAACATTAAATGATGAGACCATTGAATTTTAAATTAAATATTTTTGTTGAAAATTAATATCAAAATATTTTATATTATGTACTACCTTTGGTTATCAATAAAAGAGGTAGTTGGAGAGGATTTGGCCCTAATAAAATCTCCATCCACTTTGTAATTTTTTTTCAAAATATTCCTATTAACTATAAAGGCTCTTATCAAGATATAGTTCTAATGCACATACTTAAAATGATAGTTTAGAAAAATCAATGTACAAATAACTAATTTAACTAATTTTGTTAATATTTCAAATTTGTTATCTAGATTTTATACTGCCTCTGATCTTTAATATAATAGTTAGTTTAATATTTAATTTGGTTCTAAATATAATATCTCAATCTATTTTGTCTCTCATATTTATCATTTTTTCTCAAGCTGGTTTTTGTAGTAGTTGTACATGTTAAATATTTTATCAAATGGTAGTTTTATCTAATATACATAGCAAAGGTATTTTAGAAAAGATAACACATAATTGTTATAAATAACTAACTTAAATAATTTTTTTAATCTACTTAAATTAGTCAACTAGTTTTCATATTAAGAACGCTAGGGAGTATTAAAGATCAAGGATAGTTTGATAAAATTTACAACAACCACCAGCTTTCTTAGAAACCAGCATGACTCATTCAAGCTAAAATATTATATGTACAAAGTAAAAGGACCTTCTAGTTTGGTCTTTAATTTGTTCAAAACGATGATGTCCTAAATTCTACAATGTCTACGCATGTTGTGACACAAAAGATAAAATCAAAAGCCTTTGTCTTGAAGGATTCATATGCTTATTAGCCTTTTCAATTTCTTACACAAAGCATTTGAATTTATTAGTTTCATACATCTTCTTTACGTTTTCATAATTAAATGACCTTACCGTATCTACAATTCAATATATACATATATACATTGCATATATTGTATATATTAATTAAAAGTTAATTAAAAGATCATATTGCTTTTGTTTTTTTCCTCCAGAAGTTTCTTTTATTTAATTCAAACATCCATAATTTATTGTCCCTGAAGAATCATTTTGCTTAATTTTTAATATGATGTATTGTGTACGTCGTGTTGATGTTATCATTTATATTTGTTAATCAAGTTTTAATTGGGGAAATTGTTGTATTCAGTCACCTAAAGTCCTACACCCTAGAACAAAAATTACATTGACCAAGTTTAATACACCGTCCTGTTTAAATTAAATGTAAAACCTAGATAAATAATTTGCAAATGTTGAGAAAATTAGTTAAACTAGTTATTTATAAAATAAAAATATGTATCAATTTTTCCAAAGTACCCATTTTAATTATTTCTATTAGAAAATACTTACTTGATGAAAAATCCCCCTGATATATGTGCAATTAAGGGGAAAAACTTAGGAAAAGAATTGCTCCATCCCGTCCTTATCATAATAAGTACCCAAGACAACTTTTCATAAATCAATAAAGTTACTTGAACTTAGTAATTTCTTAAAAAATGTTAAAATTACCCTCACTGAAAATTATCAGTTAGAGAAATTTAGTTAATTAATTGGGAAGTTTTACAGTTATTAGTTAGTTATAGATATTACGTGGAAATAATTAATATTTTAAACGAAATATATTATATTATGAAACATTCTATGAGTCTTTATTATAACAAGGACTGGAGTGAGTATAAATTTAGGGGGAAAATAAGTGAAATATGCTTGGAAAAATCACAAAAAAAAACCTTGACAATTGAAAAATTGCATACAGAGACTTGTTCACAAGAATTCTTATTTGCTTATCAATTGTTGTTAAAACCAGTATTAATATTATAACGAGTCTCTATCTACAATTTTTTTATTTTTGAGATTTTTTTTATGATTTTCCCGATGTGCTTTATTTATCAAAACAAACATCAGTGAACAGTGATAAAATATGCTCCTACCATTTTCTTCCAGAAAGTCACATTCAGGTTTTATGGGATTTACAACAATTTTTGTGATTATTAATGACTACGTAAGATTTAGGTTTCATATTATTTTATTTTTTTGGAAAATTCATACCAGTTATGGGGAAAATTGAAGAATAGTCATACTAAACTTCTCATCTCTAAATATTAGAAAGTCTTGGCCAAGAAAAATATCAGTAAGTCAGGAGCAAGATTTTGACAAATACACACAAAAAAGCCCTCCTAATCCTTTGAAGATAAGCTCCATCAAAAACTTGAATTCTTATTAAGATGACATTTGCATTCCATTTTCGTTCACTCTTTCGCAATTTGTTCCTTGAAAATAATATGAATTTTTCTGTCTATTAATATACATTTTAAGTGGAAATCCTTGAATATAATTTTCCTCTTAATTAGTTAACATATAATTTTTTTTTTAGGGAGAATACTGTCAAGTTGAATTTTTCTCTACATACCCAATTGCATGCTCTGGCTATTGCGGTCCAAAAATAATACTATTTTTTATTTTAATATAAGACATTAATTTATTTTGTCTCATAAATTTAAAATTATTTTTTCAAACTCTCCTTACACATTAAAGAGTATTTATCTAGAGACAGTTTTCGATCCAAATAACAACTTTAAAAAAATCAATACACATTTTTGACACATAATTAAGTTAATTATTTTTAAAATTTACAAATTAGTTAACTAGCTTTTATATTTATAAGCAGGGATAATAATAGTTTTTAAGTATCATGACTAAGTTATTGAAAATTGAACCATATAAACGGGTTCGAGTGGTGATTTAAGGATTAATGCTTTGAACATAGTTGAACCGGAATAATTCAATCATCATTAAAATATACAAAAATATTCATA